ACACAGTACAGCATGGAACTGTGACGACACCACAGGCAATGGCTCCCACCTGTACTTACACACAGTACAGCATGGAACTGTGACTACAACACAGACAATGGCTCCCACCTGTACTTACACACAGTACAGCATGGAACTGCGACGACACCACAGGCAATGGCTCCCCCCTGTACTTACACACAGAACAGCATGGAACTGTGACTACAACACAGACAATGGCTCCCACCTGTACCTACACACAGAACAGCATGGAACTGCGACGACACCACAGGCAATGGCTCCCCCCTGTACTTACACACAGTACAGCATGGAACTGTGACTACAACACAGACAATGGCTCCCACCTGTACTTACACACAGTACAGCATGGAACTGTGACTACAACACAGACAATGGGTCCCACCTGTACTTACACACAGAACAGCATGGAACTGTGACTACAACACAGACAATGGGTCCCACCTGTACTTACACACAGTACAGCATGGAACTGTGACGACGCCACAGACAATGGGTCCCACCTGTACCTACACACAGTACAGCATGGGACTGTGACAACACCACAGGCAATGGCTCCCACCTGTACTTACACACAGTACAGCATGGAACTGTGACGACACCACAGGCAATGGCTCCCCCCTGTACTTACACACAGTACATCATGGAAGTGTGATGACACCACAGGTAACTGTAACACAACAGTAACTACTTGTATATCTAAACACAAGAAAGCTACAATAAAAATATGGTATCTGAACCTTTTTTTTTTTTTTTGAGACAGTCTTGCCCTGTTGCCCAGGCTGGAGTGCAGTGGCGCGATCTCAGCTCACTGTGACCTCTAGAGCCTCCCAGGTTCAAGCAGTTCTCTGCCTCAGCCTCCTGCGTAGCTGGGATTACAGGCACCCGCCATCATGCCCAGCTAATTTGGGTATTTTTGTGGAGATGGGGTTTCACCATGTTAGCCAGGCTGGTCTTGAACTATCACCTAAGACTCCCAAAGTGCTGGGATTATAGGCGTGAGCCACCGCGCCCGGCTGGGCACTGTTTGTATACTGCTGATTATTCTTTTCTCAGGTGTACATATTGTAAGTATCTCCTCCCAGTTGGCAGCTTGCCTTTCCCCTTTTTTAAGGTGTTTGTTGATGAACAGAAGTTATGGTTATGGTTTATGTTTTGCATTTGGTTCCTGTTTAAGAAAATCAGAGTTAGATAACCACCTATACTGCATTTATGTTCCTATCCGCCTGGAGTTGACCTCTGGGTCTGACGTGAGGGAGGCATCCTTTTCAATCTTTTTCCTTATAGATTACCAATCTTTGCAGCTCTGTTTATTGAATAGCTCCCCCTTCCCCCGGTGATCTTCTGTGCTACCTCTGTCATATCAAAGTTCAATACATGCTTTTTATTTTCTTGAGACAGTCTTGCTCTGTCATCCAGACTGGAGTGAGATGGCACGAACTCTGCTTATTACAACCTCTGCCTTCCAGGCTCAAGTGATCTTCCTGCCTCAGCCTTCTGAGTAGCCTGGATTACAGCATGCACCACCACAGCAAGCTCATTTTTGTAGCTTTTGTAGAAATGGGCTTTCACCATTCTGCCCAGGTTGGTCTCAAACTCCTGGGCTCAAGTGATTCTCCTGCCTCGGCCTGCCAAAGCGCTGGGATTGCAGGTGTGAGCCACTGTGCCCTGCTAATATATGCTTAACTCTGTTTCTTGGCTCTTAAACCTGTGGTCAAAGTCTAAATGTAATAAATCCTTCTGGATAATATAAGAATCTTCAACCTAGACATGTGATTGTTATGTATTGTTTTCTTTGTTATGTATTTCAATTCTATTCTTCTTTCACTCTGAAAGACATTATCACCATTTTACAGTGTTCATTCACATTTATCTTTTTAAAAATTTATTCATTTGTGTACCTCAGAGCTGCTGCCTAAGATCAGCTTCCTTCTGGTTAAAGCATATTATTTACGATTCCCTTTAGTGAGAATCTGGTGGTGGCAATGTGTTTTTGTTACATTGAAGTATCTTTATTTTTACCTCATTCTTTTTTTGTGAGACAATGTCTCTGCCACCCAAGCTGGAGTGCGGTGATGCAATCACAGCTCACTGCAGCCTCAATCCCCCCGGGCTCAAGCGATCCTCCCACCTCAGCCTCCCAAGTAGCTGGGACCACAGCCACGTTCCACCATATCCAGATAATTTTTTTACTTTTTGTAGAGACAGGGTTTCTTCATGTTGCCCAGACTTGTCTTGAACTCCTGAGCTCAAGCCATCCTTCCGCCTTGATCTCTCAAAGTGCTGGGATTATAAGTGTGAGTTACCACACTGGGCCACGTCATTCTTCAAAAGATGCTTTTGTTGGGTATTGTATTTCAGATGGTTAGTGTTTTCTTTCCACACAGAAGGAATTCTCCTATTGTCAACTGTTGTCTAACTCCTTTTTTTTTTTTTTTTTTTTTTTTTTTTGAGACGGGATTTTTCTCTGTCACCAGGCTGGAGTACAGTGACATATTCTTAGCTTACTGCAATCTCTGCCTCCCAGGTTCAAGCAATTCTCTTGTGTCAGCCTCCAGAGTAACTGGGATTATAGGCGTGCACCACCAGGCCAAGCTAATTTTTTGTATTTTAATAGAGATGGGGTTTCACCATGTTGGCCAGGCTGGTCTTGATTTGCTGACCTCCTGATTCACCCACCTTGGCCTCCCAAAGTGCTGGGATTACAGGCGTGAGCCACTGGGCCCGGCCCTACCTGCTTTTTCTTGAAGATAATCTGCCTTTTTTTCCCTAGCTGCTTCTAAGCTTTTCTCTTTGTTTTAGGTGTTCTCAGGTTTCACGACGTTGGTGCATCGGAGCGTACACTCATTTCTATTCCTCCCCTTTGGAATGCCTTGGCCCTCATGACTCTATGGAGTAGTGGTTTCCATCAGTTCCGGGAATTTCTCAGCCATTCCCTCTCATATCTCACCTCCCATTTTTCCTCTCTTCTAGGACTTCAATTAGAGTACACGGACCACCTAGCTCTGTCCCGTGTCTCCTCAACTCCCTCTCGTTTCTCCCCTCGGCGTCCCTGGGCTGCAATCTGAACACTTTCTTCAAAGCTCTCAGTTCACTAATTCCAACCAGGCAGTGTCTAATGTGCTGTTAAACTTATCCATCGTGTTTTTAAATATTGCATTTCTTTCCTTAAAAAAATTGCTTCTTTTCCAAATGGGCTACATGAATTTTATAGATTTATTTCCTGTTTGTGGTTATAATTTTTTTCTTTTCTTTCTTTCTTTTTTTTTTTTTTTAAAGATGGGGTTTCACCATGATGGCCAGGCTGGTCTTGAACTCCTGACCTCAGGTGATCCACCCACCTCAGCCTCCCAAAGTGCTAGGATTACAGGCGTGAGCCACCGCGCCCAGCTTTTTTTTCTTTTTTTTTTTTTTAAGACAGTCTCTGTCACCCAGGCAGTGGCACGATCTCTGCTCACCTCAACCTCTACCTCCTGATTTCAAGTGATTCTCATGCCTCAGCCTCCAGAGTAGCTGGGATTACAGGCGCACACCACCATGCCTGGCAATTTTTTTTATTTTTAGTAGAGACAAGTTTTCACCACGTTGGCCAGGCTGGTCTCGAACTCCTGACCACAAGTGATCTGCCCACCTCAGCCTCCCCAAGTGCTGGGATTACAGGTTGAGCCACTGTGCCCGGCCTCCTTGTGGTTATGATTTCTTACAGATGGGATTTCCCATTCCCCTATCCACTCTCTTCAGTGCCAACACTGCTTTCTTCGTGGTCCCTGGAACAGGGCAGGATCTTCTCATTCACTCCTCCCCTGAGGCTGTAGCCATATGAGGTCCTAACTTGATGGGATCTTAAGGCAGCATGAGAGAGAGGCAAGAAAAGAACCTAGAACTACACCCCAAACCTATCTGCACACTGCCAGGCCCACCACCTCCTTCCTGGAATTGCAGCTGCTTCTCTAGACACAAACTTACAGTAGCCTGCAGGGTCATCAGGGTTTCCTGGTGGGTTTTAATGTGTCCGTTCCTCAGACCGGGGCTTCCTCCTCTAGGCTGTGGCTTCTCCAGGGTTGATTTTGGAGAAGGAGTCAGGCCATGGCTAGCTGTCACACTCTGGCATTCGTGAGTAGAAGGCATCTCTACTGTCCGATGTTATCATCAGGCTATGGGGCCAAGGACGGGATTTGAGAGCTCTTTCTAACTTAACCCAAGGGAGGCAGATTTCTTCTTAAGGCAATATTGTAACCTGTTGTTTTGGATTTTCTTTCTCTTTCAGCGCTCTAGCTGAGGCAGCCACGGGGAAAAAGGTCTTGCACATTCCATACAGAGACTCCATTCTCACCAAGCTGCTGCAGTCAGCTCTGGGTGCGAACAGCAGAACCGCTTTGGTAAAAGCCCTTTCTCACATTTTACACTGATTCTGCTGTATAGCTGTTATTGTTGATGTTGTTATTGTGATTAAAATTATTCTCAATACACCTGTAATATAATAGAGTACTTGGCATTGACCCAGTCCAGCATGCTTTTTGTTTTTTTTGAGATGGGGTCTCACTCTCGCACCCAGGCTGGAGTGCAGTGAGTGGTGTGACCCTGGCTCATTACAACCTCCGCCTCCCAGGTTCAGGTGATTCTCCTGCCTCAGCCTCCCAAGTAGCTGGAACTACAGGCGTGTGCCACCACACCTGGTTAATTTTTACTCTTTTTTTTTTTTTTTTTGTATTTTTGGTAGAGACAGGGTTTCACCACATTGGCCAGGCTGGTCTTGAACTCCTGACCTCAGGTAAGCTGCCCGCCTCGGCCTCCCAAAGCTCTGGGATTGCAGGCTCTGGGGTGACGGCCACCGCACCTGGCCTTGTTTTATTTTGTTTTCCCCTCAGGACTAACAAATTCTGACCTACCATTATCCCACAACCTCTGGTACTCCATTTCAATGTTCAAACAATGTTTCTATATTAGTAATTTTTAAATTTATTCTTTTCTGTAGTTTAAGTTCTCTACAAGGAACATATATTACTTTTATTATCAGGAAAAAAAACTAGTAACATTAAAAAAAAAAAAAAAAAAAAAAAAAAAAACTAGCTGTGTCATCCTATTCTAAATTAGCAGTCATTCCCTGGCAAGGTTGGAAATCAATGTCACTGTGTTTGTTTGCCCTGCAGAGTAGCTGGACCGTGTTATCTCAGCCCACGCTCTGGGGTCTCATTAGCAAATGTTCGCCAGGTGGGGACACTGTGGAATGTGTTCAAACCAGGACTCTGCTCTTCAGCTTCAGCTGCGGGGGGGGTGCACTCTGCCTCCAGCCCAGCGCTGGCCGGCGCTCTGCTGTCCTGCTCAGGAGAGAAGCGCCCCGCCAGGACCAGTTACATGCATCCCCCAAAGTCACAGGAAAACGCACCCTTACTCTTTCTCACTTCACCCTATTTTCAATACTTCATTTTACAGTTTTTCTGGTTGTCAGCTACCTGTGGGCCCCAACGGGACATCCCCCCAAAAAACTTGAACATGAGAAGGCACATGAGATGCTCTCTGAATGTTAGCCCACAAAATTCAACCTGGCAGGTCTCAGCAGATGTGTGCAAAGTCACCCCAGGCCGGGAGGACGACGCCCAGACCTGCCAGCCTTGACCGGCTGCCTGAGGGCAGGGCAGTGCTTTGACAAAGGGGCGTGCTAGGGAGGGGCAGACGCTGGGTGTCCAGCATCTCGGGAAGCACAGAGAACAGAGAACCCGCAAGGCCGACAGCAAGCTCTGCAGTCTCTATGGCACCAGCCCAGCTTCAGCACGAGTGTCTTACAACCTTCATGTTTAGCGATGACAATGAAAATCCACCTGAAAATACTGCCATGAGGATTAAATGAGATGACATAAATGAACAAGCTTTAACAGCTGTGAAGGGGAGTCGCTGGGAAGACAGCCGAACAGAAGCGGCCCCGGTGCGCAGCTCCCCGCGAGCGCAGGAGGGAAGTCACCTCTGCGTTTCCAGCTGAGGCACCTGGTTCATCTCGTTGGGACTGAGGACAGCCGGTGCAGCCCAAGGAGGCTGAGCCAAAGCAGGGTGGGGCACCTCACCTGGGAGGTGCAAGGCGTTGGGGAACTGCCTCTCCCAGCCACGGGAAGCCGTCAGGGTCTCCGCCCAGTTACCACTTTTCCCACAGTCTTCACAACCCGCAGAGGAGGTTCCCACCGGTGCCTACAACGCCAGGGCCCTGGGTTTCCAGCACAAACCTCGGTGGCCGTCTGGGAAGACACGGAGCTAGCGGCAGCAGTTTTTTTTTTTTTTCTCTCATACGCCAGTGGCACCTGGAAGGCCAGTGAGACAGAACCGCTCACCCCCCTGGAAAGGGAGCAGAAGTCAGGGGGCCAAGTGGTCTGGCTCGGCGGGTCTCACCCCCATGAAGACCAGCAAGCTGAGACCCACTGGCTTGAAACTCTTGCAGCCAGCGCGGCAGCCTGAGCTCGACCTGGGACATTCCAGCTTGGTGGGGGGAGGGGTGTCCGCCATTGCTGAGGCTCAGGTAGGAGCCTGCATAAACAAAGTTGTGGGGAAGTCTGGACTGGGTGGAGCCCACAGCAGCTCAGCAAGGCCTCTGCAGGGAGACTGCGTCACTAGACTCCCTCCTTGCTGGGCAGGGCATCTCCGAAAAAAGGCAGCAGCCCATCAGGGACTCATAAATAAAGCCCCACCCTCCTGGGACAGAGCACCTGGGAAAGGGGTGGTTGTTCGCACAGCTTTAGCAGACCTAAACATCCCTATCCGGCAGCTCTGAAGAGAGCAGATTTCCCAACACAGCATTTGAGCTCTGGTAATGAGCAGACTGCCTCCTGGAGTGGCTCCCTGACCTCTGTGTATCCTGACTGGGAGACGCCTCCCAGCAGGGGCCGACAGACACCTCACACAGAAGAACTCTGGCTGGCATCTGATGGGTGCCCTTCTGGGACAAAGCTACCAGAGGAATGAACAGGCAGCTCTCTTCGTCATTCTGCAGCCCCCGCTGGTGATACCTAGCAAGCAGTGTCTGGAGTGGACTTCCAGCAAACTCCAGCAGACCTGCAGCAGAGAGGCCTGACTGTTAGAAGGAACACTAACAAACAGAAAGAAATAGTTTCAACATCAACAGAAAGGACATCCACTCAGAGACGCCATCCAAAGGTCACCGACTTCAAACACTAAAGGAAGATAAATCCACAAAGATGGTAAGAAATCAGTGCAAAAAGGCTGAAAATTCCAAAACCCAGAATGCCTCTTCTCCAAGGGATCACAACTTCTCTCTAACAAGGGAACAAGGCTGGATGGAGAATGAGTGCTGCGAATTGACAGAAGCAGGCTTCAGAAGGTGGGTAATAACAAATTTCTCTGAGCTAAAGGAGCATGTTCTAACTCAATGCAAGACCACATAATTGGAAGTAAAACACTCCTCAACAAATGCAAAAGAATGGAAATCCTAACAGTCTCTCAGACCACAGTGCAATCAAATTAGAATTCAGGATTAAGAAACTCACTCAAAACCACATAACTACATGGAAACTGAACAACCTACTCCTGAATGACTACTGGATAATTAATGAAATGAAGGTAGAAATAAATACGTTCTTTCAAACCAATGAGAACTAAGACACAATGTACCAGAATCTCTGGGACACATTTAAAGCAGGTGTAGAGGGAAATTTATAGCACTAAATTCCCACAAGAGAAAGGAGGAAAGATTCAAAATTGACACCCTAATATCTGGATTCAAAGAACTAGAGGAGCAAGAACAAAAAATTCAAAAGCTAGCAGAAGACAAGAAATAACTAAGATCAGAGCAGAACTGAAGGAGATAGAGACACAAAAAACCCTTCAAAAAAATAAATGAATCTGGAGCTGGTTTTTTGAAAAGATAAAATAGATAGATCACTAGCCAGACTAATAAGACAAGAGAAAAGAATCAAACAGATGCAATAAAAAATGATAAGGGGATATCACCACCGATCCCACAAAAGTGCTAACTATCATCAGAAAATGCTATAAACATCTCTCTGCAAATAAACCAGAAACTCTAGAAGAAACGGATAAATTCCTGGGCACATGCACCCTCCTAAGACTAAACCAGCAAGAAGTCGAATACCTGAATAGACCAATAACAAAATCTGAAATCGAGGCAGCAATTAATAGCCCTACCAACCAAAAAAAGTCCAGGACCAGACAGGTTCACAGCCAAATTCTACCAGAGGTACAAAGAGGAGCTGGTACCATTCCTTCTGAAACTATTCCAAACAATAGCAAAAGAGAGAATTCCCCCCTAACTCATTTTATGAGGCCAACATCATCCCGATACCAAAATCTGGCAGAGACACAACTGAAAAAGAAAATTTCAGGACAATATCCATGATGAACATCAATGCAAAAATCTCAATAAAATACTGGCAAATTAATTCAACAGCACATAAAAAACTTATCCATCATGATCCAGTCAACTTCATCCCTGGGATGCAAAACAGCAAGGCTGGTTCAACATACAAAAATCAATCAATGTAATCCATCACATAAACAGAACCAAAGACAAAAACCACAGGATTATCTCAGCAGATGCAGAGAAGGCCTTCAACAAAATTCAGCAGCCCTTTATGCTAAAAGCTCTCAATAAAATAGGTATTGATGGAATGTATCTCAAAATAATAAAAGCTATTTATGACAAACCCACGGCCAATATCATACGGAATGGGCAAAAACTGGAAGCATCCCCTTTGAAATCTGGCACTAGACAAGGATGCCCTCTCTCACCACTCCTATTCAATATAGTATTGGAAGTTCTAGCCAGAGCAATTAGGCAAGAAAAAGAAATAAAGGGCATTCAATTAGGAAAAGAAGAAGTCAAATTGTCCCTATTTGCAGACAACATGATTGTATATTTAGAAGACCCCATCATCTCAGCCCAAAACCTCCTTAAGCTGGACAAGCAACTTCGGCAAAGTCTCAGGATGCAAAATCAATGTGCAAAAATCACAAGCATTCCTATACACCAATAACAGACAGAGAGCCAAATCATGAGCAAACTCCCATTCACAATTGCTACAAAGAGAATAAAATACCTAGGAATACAACTAGCAAGGGATGTGAAGGACCTCTTCAAGGAGAACTACAAACCAATGCTTAAGGAAATAAGAGAGGACACAAACAGATGGAGAAACATTCCATGCTCATGGTTAGGAAGAATCAATATCATGAAAATGGTCATACTGCCTAAAATAATTTATAGATTCAATGCTATCCCATCAAGCTACCATTGACTTTCTTCAAAGAATTGGGAAAAAACTACCTTAAATTTCATATGGAACCAAAAAAGAGCTTGTATAACCAAGACAATCCTAAAATAACAAACAAACAAATAAACCAAAAAAACCCAGAAAGCTGGAGGCATCATGCTCCTGACTTTATACTGCAAGGCTACAGCATGGTACTGGTACCAGAACAGAGATATAGACCAATGGAACAGAACAGAGGCCTCAGAAATAACATTACACATCTACAGCCATCTGATCTTTGACAAACCTGACAAAAACAAGCAATGGGTAAAGGATCCCCTATTTAATAAATGGGGTTGGGAAAACTGGCTAGCCATATGCAGAAAGCTGAAACTGTATCCTTTCCTTACAGTTTATACAAAAATTAACTCAAGATGAATTAAAGATTTAAACATAAGACCTAAAACCATAAAACTCCTAGAAGAAATCCTAGGCAATACCATTCAGGACATAGGCATGGGCAAGGACTTCATGACTAAAACACCAAAAACAATGGCAACAAAAGCCAAAATAGACAAATGGGATCTAATTAAACTAAAGAGCTTCTACACAGCGAAAGAAACTATCAATAGAGTAATTAGGCAACCCACAGAGTGGGAGAAACTTTTTGCAATCTACCCATCTGACAAAGGGCTAATATCCAGAATCTACAAAAACTAAAACAGATTTCTAAGAAAAAAAACAACCCCATCAAAAAGTGGGCAAAGGATATGAACAGACATTTCTCAAAAGGAAACAGTTATGCAGCCAACAAACATGAAAAAATGCTCATCATCACTGGTCATTAGAAATGCAAATCAAAACCACAATGAGATACCATCTCACACCAGTTAGGATGTCGATCATTAAAAAATCAGGAGACAACAGATTCTGGAGAGGATGTGGAGAAATCGGAACACTTTTACACTGTTGGTGGGAGTGTAAATTAGTTCAACCATTGTGGAAGACAGTGTGGCGATTCCTCAAGGATCTAGAACTAGAAACACCATTTGACCCAGCAATCCCATTACTGGGTATATATCCAAGGGATTATATATCATTCTATTATAAAGACACATGCACACGTATGTTTATTGTGGCACTGTTCACAATAGCAAAGGCTTGGAACCAACCCAAATGCCCATCCATGATAGACTGGATAAAGAAAACGTGGCACATATCCACCATGGAATCCTGTGCAGCCATAACAAAGGGTGAGTTCATGTCATTTGTAGGGACGTGGATGAAGCTGGAAACCATCATTCAACAAGAATGGAAAACCAAACACTGCATGTTCTCATAAGTGAGTGAGAACACACGGACACAGGGAGGGGAACATCACACATCAGGGCCTGTTGAGGGTGGGGCAATAGGGGAGGGATCTCATTAGGAGAAATACCTAATGTAGATGGCAGCTCCTACCAAGCCTGCTCTCCTGAACCTTCTAAGAAAGGGGGCCGTGGGGAGAGGGGAGTCTGTGGCCACGGCAGGACCCTCCCCATGCACTGCCCCGACCCTCCCCAAGCAAAGGTCAGCCTTGGGAATCCTCCAGCCCAGCTGAGTCGGGGCAGGAGCTTGGGACTGTCAGGTCTGGTTCTGGGCAGCTGGAGTAGGCGTGGGAGGTGAAACTTACTTGCCAGCCCTGATATGCCATTCGCCAGGTCTATGGGCTTAGAGGTCAGACAGAGCCTGGCTCTAGCAGCTGTGACCATGGGTGACAAACAGAACATGTCCCCCGTTGCCTCTTACACTGAAGGAGGCATTCCTCATTCACAGCTTTGGGGAGGGGACCACGGGAGATTGTGTGTGAACCGTGCCTGGCAGAATTCTGCCTGGTGTGTGAGCGAGGCTCAGGAACTGTGGTTATGATAATACCACTGAGGGCTGCCTCCCTTTCTGGCCTCTTCTCAGTGCAGGAGCACTTGTGTGTTGGTGACAAATGTCTTCCTCCTCATTCTTCACTGCGAGGCCTCAATATAGTGTCAAACCCCAAGGCATTTTTTTCCAGCATCTCTGACATGAGGTTAGGTTGTTTTTTTTTTTTTTTTTTTGGATAAGGTGTCACCCTGTCACCCAGCCTGGAGTGTAGTGGCATGATCATGGCTCATGGCATCCTCAACCTCCCAAATTCAAGTGATCCTCCCACCTCAGCCTTTCTGGAGTAGCTAGGACTACAGGCATGAGCCACCATGCCTGCCTAATTTTTTAATTTTGTAGAGATGGAGCCTTGATATGTTGGCCAGGCTGGTCTTAAACTCCTGGCCTTAAGTGATCCTCCCGCCTCAGCCTCCCCAAAGTGCTGGGATTACAGGTATGAGCCACCGTGCCCAGCCCAAGCTCAGATCTTTAAACGAATTTTGCCTTAAGCAGTATCCAGAATGTTTCCTCCCTGCTTGTCAGATGCAAATCTGTTGCTTCCAGGTTTTACAGGAGAGACCACGTGATAAGAGGAAAGAAAAAATGGTATCCACAGCCTGTCCTGTACGACTCGGGGTTCTCCTTGTTAAACCCCAATTCCAACTCCCCTGTGGAAAACGAAAGAAATTCAGCTGCCAGATTTAGCAAATAAAAATGTGTCCAGTTACATTTAAATTTCAGAGTGCAAGTAATGTTTTACTGTATGTCCCGTGCAGTATTTGGGGGCACCTCATGTTTTCTCCGACAACGTCAGGAAGGGAGTGGCCTAGAACGCCTCCGAGGTTCCGCCCAGCCTGGTGCCCATGGTGGAGCAGTCCCCACAGCCTCCAGGCCATCAGTTATTTCAGCAGCAACAGGTATTGAGCAGGCTCTTAGGTTAACCAAGTCAGCCCCACTGGCTGCGTGTGTTCAGGTCCCAGGACAGGTTAGGGGCTGAGTCCCGGCCTGGCTGAGCTGCACGTGATTCTTTAAACTGTGCAGGTGACTAAAGCCACTTTGGTCTTAATGGTTTAATGGAACCAGACCTGATGTGAAATCTCAAGTCACCTGGGGCCGGGGGAGACCTGAGTGTGCCCTGGGGGTGCAGCTGCTCAGGCAAGGGGCTCCAGGCCTACGAGTGTGTCCATCTTTGCGCATGAAAGGGCTAAAAAGATCCGGAACAAAGCAGTGGTCAACACCTGGACACTGACGAGAGAGGCAAGGGCAGGGAACGGCGAGCTACTGCCCAGATGCAGAAACTCCAGAGTGGCAGATAAACCAAGTCAGGGGCCAGTGCCCTGAGCACTGGGCGGAGGGGCGGGGACATGACCTGGCCGAAGCCTGGGGCTGCCGGGAGCGCCTGGATTAGAATCTGAGGGGTAGCTGGGGTGCAGGGCGGGGGCATGACCTGGATTAGAATCTGGGGGGTAGC